CGAAATAGCACAAGAACTATTCCCAGAACAGACGGCAGCCCTCGTGCTACAAAGCGTGGAGGCGACCCTGGGGTGAAAACTGTTTATGCTGGTCAGGAAAGAAAAGAGGGGAAAAATCTGCCAAAAGTGGAAAGTGAGAAAATGCTAACATAACTTACCACTCCATGGGGGGAAAGATAACAATGATGTCACCCTTGAGGTAATCGCTCTGCGGAGGATGCGTAGTCCAACTGATTAAACACGTTGAAAGGAGTTGCTGGACTTTATTGAACATGTGGCCAAACACTGCGCTCTCAGCCAAAATCGGAAAAATTCTGTTTGCTAAAGGGCTTTAACGCAGCCCCGTTTGACCATTAACAAAAATGCAAAGTAAGTAATTTACCATCTCAAAATACCTTCCAGAAGAAGTAGAGGAGACACACTAATATATTTGTATTTTTACTTTTAAATAAGGGCTATTTTGACAAGCTAACCTGAAGAATTGGACACGAACAGTGTCCACATAGCCCAGTCGTGGGCAAACTATTTGACTCGCGGATCCACATAGCCCAGTCGTGGGCAAACTAGTTGACTCGCGGACCACAATAAGTCCTAAAATTTGACAGGGGACGGGTCAGGAGCAGGTCGATGGAGCGTTCGTATGAGCTAAAACAAATGTAAAAGTCGTAAAAGCTAAATTGCTAAAATGCTTTTTAAGCCTTTTCTCCGCCATCTATTGGAGAAATGCGGGCATTGCAGGGAAAAGGCAGAAGTATAATGACAATAGAAATGAATTACATAATTTGGACAAGTTTGGCGGGCCGGATTAAAAAGCCAAACGGGCCGCATCTGGCCCCCGGGTCGTAGTTTGCCCATAGTTTGCCCATGTGCCCAACAGTGGTTTTTAAACCTCTGACCTTTTTAGGACCAAGACTAAATAATATAAGGAATAAATCTTGAAAAATACTCCTTCCCTTTGGGAAATTTTGGCTCCCGATGTGTGTCCTGTAAAGTTTCAATATTACCTGAGCCAGATCGTTATTGAACGGTCAATCAATAAACTGCCTCGTCTTCTTAATGCACAAACATCTCTGTCTTTTCCAAGGAGACTTTTTACTCATAGACTTTTTCCTCCACAGATTTACGATGTCATGATTCATTTGACGGGAACAGGGATTAGATAGGTGTCAAAGAACGATGTTGTGCCAACAGACTCCTCCCATTGACATTGGGCCATTGCAACAGAATCAACACGTGTACTGATGGTGTTTTTGTCAGTAAGAGTGAGATAAACGAGCACCATACCCGTACTTTGAATCCAGTTGGGAGATTGATGTAAATGAATCTGACTGTGACATCTGGGTTCTGTGTTTATCCATTTTGATGTATGGAGATCAAGTCGGAATTCTCAGTAAGTTGTGTTTTTGTCACGATGATGCCGTGTGCTAAAGTGCGCCGATTCATTTATTGTTTGACCATCCAGGCTTTTCTCATGGATCGTTCTTGAAGACCCAGCTCTTCAGAGAGCGCCTCGTTTCTTAGCACTTTCCTATACCTCCCTTCTTCTTCTACATTTATCTCCACCCTGGTTAAGAAGTCACACTTTACTGAGAGTTCTTCTATGTAGCTTGTTTTTTTTAAATCTCCTCTTGTAAGTCTCTTTGGATACAAGCATCTGCTAAATGCATTCATGTGAATGTAAATGCCATCACTTCAAACCAAAGACACAGCAGCCTCCCGTCTCACGTCTTAGGTCGATGTTTTGAGGTCAACGTTTGGTCACATGGAAGTGGCGTAAACCTGATGCTACGTTCAACGGGTTTCTCTAGCGTCTCCTTGATTTTATTGGATCCTACGAGTGTAACTCCCTTTTCATTTGGCTCATATCTTTTACACTTGAAGGTGTTTATGGAACAGTTATGCCTCATTACACAAGCACGAATGTTACAACCAGGCCTAGGGAAACCTGAGCACAATAGGAAAGTACAAGACTGGCCGTTCCCCGACTCTCAAGAACGAAACTTTCTTTTCTCCATTTGTTGTACAACATACATATAGTATAACAAAAAATATCAACAAATGAGTAATACCGTCCAAGGCTGTGGTAAATATGATGTCATTTTCTCCTTTTCGTAATTAGGGAATCATAAACAAAATGATTGTGTTTTTCTCAGTGATTTCACCCAACCTGACAGCAGTTAGAATACGGTACAAAATCCCAGTTACACTGGTACACACTCACATTTTAGGTGGTATGCTAGTAGTATGCTACTAGGGATAGGTACAAGTTCAAAACGATACTACAACTCGGAGTATCTGCCCATCTAATATCAATCCGAAACCTTCTTTTCTCCTCCGACATGCAGAATCAGATTGGATGCGCTATAGTTGTTTTTTTATGTTCGATCCTAAACTTTGGACCAATATCAAACCGATACCGATCCTGAGTCTTGAGTGGAGCCATCCTTGCGAGGAAGCGTAAGGGTGATTTGAATATTTGAGCTGGAGACGTTGAATTGGAATTAGCAAAACAGTAGTCTTTGGTAGAAAAGTGTAGAAAAAATATCACTACCAAAATACTACCTTGTAGCTGCGAAGCCTTTGTACCCATCCTCTTTAGATCTTTTATTTTGAAAATGTAATGATCCTTCAACGATGGCGCGGTATTATCGGTATGGGTAACGCATGACACCAGCCAACTGATCTTTGGTGCAAAAAAGGTTAGGGACCGCTGCTGTTTAGCATGTAGCAAATAGCTAATATTTCAAGATAGTAAATTTAGCTATATGTCTATCATCCTTCCCTGTCAGTCTGTAGAAACGGAGCATACAAAGTAAACGCAGTACATGTTTTATGTAAAGTATTTGTCTTGGTTGCGTGCTTTCGCCAACAGATGTCTGCCATCACTCACGTCGTTTTCTTTTCCATTTATCCTTCTCAAAAATCTCAAAGCCAACAACTAGACAAACAGGCAGAGCGAAGCGGTGACACACCCTAGCAGATCCCATCCCAGGGAGACAGAGAGGGACTTTTTGAGTCATTTGTCCGGCTGGATACACACACACACACACACACACACACACATGCTTGTGTGGATTTGACTTAGTCATAATGCATTCCCAAACACTGACCCTAACCTAAACTATTACGAAGATATTTTATTGCTTACCCATACTTTGATGGTCCTTTCTTCCCCGCTGTGTTATTGTCTTTCTCACATTTCAATCACCGAACGACCCGTTCTGCTGCATCGTGACGCAGCAATGAAAAGTTCAAATCCAAGTTTAAAGAACGGTGTGCACGCCGACTCTTTGTAGTTCATAAATGAATGCCTTATCCTCATCTGCTTGGGGAGTTTTCTTTTTATATATAATTACAGGCTTTCTAGTGCTTTGTTGTGAAAAGATAAACACACACATCTACCAAATAAAAGAGGAAGATATAGTTAACCATTTAATTGAAGGCCGACAGCTTTATGTGCACGTTTGTATAACGCGCTGTGTGGAACTGATGATGGCCTAACATCCCCTGTGTACCTACCGAACATGTAATGGGCTGCAGCTGTACTGCAGTGTCGCTAGCCGATGTTCTAGATATACATTTTTACCCGCTTTGAACCCTGCGGCTTAAACAATGATGCGGCTAATTTATGGATTTTTACGGGCTAACGCTAAAGTTCATATCGCTAGCAACTAAAATTACTTTTTTGGTAGGCTATTGTGTGTTATACTTAGCAACTAAAATTACTTTTTTGGTAGGCAATTTAGCGTCTGTCTGTCTGTGAATGGCTGCGTCCGTATATGTGCGTATGGATGCTTGAGAGAACGGTAGCTAAAGTTGACAGCAGTTTGATCCCTGTCATGTTGAAGCCTCAGTTGGTTATAGAGGAGCTGTTAAAACTCTGTTTACGTTCTGTTGTGGTCGCTGTGGCTGATAATAAAGACCCCAACTTCACTGTTTCTGAGTTAGCACTGGCGCTAATGTTAGCTTTGTCCCTAGAGCAGCTCACTAAGTGTGTCCTGGGCATTCAAACTACGGTTGGGGCGCAGAAGCAGGAAAGAGCTAACGTGTAATCAGCCGCGTTACCGTTTGGAAAAAAGCATTTATTTATTTATAAGTGAAAAAAAAACAACTAACGTGTAATCAGCCGCGTTACCGTTCGGGGAAAAAAAAAATCTGTTTAAATATCCCATTTTACAACGTGGACACCTGCGGCTTATAGAGTAGTGCGGCCTAAATATGTTTTTTTTATTATTTTTTTCATTTTAAATTTAGTGGGTGCGGCTTATATTCAGGTGCGCTCAATAGACCGGAAGTTACGGTAGATTGCATAGGAACTAGTGGGTGAACAGAGCGGACGAATACGTTTCACGCGGGCACTATTTTGGGAAATTCTTGCATTTCATAATGGCTCCCACCGAGCATAAGTCAGACTCTTGTGATTTTTTTTTTTTATGTCCTAGATTATTACGTTACCGCTATGTTAGCGAAGGTGAGTGACCTAGGTACTTATGTACAGTATCTGAGCTCCGACATATGAAAAGTTAAGTTACGGCGCACTGTAGAAAACCCGTAGTTTGAGAGTTTGTATAGGCGTTGTCTGTAAGCTACTTAAAGCAAACAACTCTATCCAAATACGCCTGAAATTGTGGTTACTCTTGTTGGTGTATATTCTTATTTTTATTTAACCAGTTTCCCATCTTTTCCCATTTTAGAGACTATCTTCTGTAGCATCCCAGTGAAAACGTTGCTGCTTCCAAAATAATCCAGACAAAAGAGACAGGGGTTTATTGGGTGTGATTTGTAGTTGGTTTGTTCCATTCGAAAGGAATATTCTCTGTCATATATTCTGTGAATATTGTTTGTTGTTAAAATCACCATAACTCATCAAAGTTCAGGTGTTTTACGGACTAGCATGCCCGTACCCTTGTATGTGCCTCTGTCATCACTCAATATCCAACACTCACAATCTCTTCTCTTTTTCTTTTCTCCTTCTCCTATGTCTTGGGTTTGTGTTGTAGCCAACTGCAGCCCTCAGTGCCAGAACGGAGGAATGTGCCTCAGGCCTCAGCTCTGCGTTTGTAAGCCTGGCTCAAAAGGGAAGGCATGTGAACAGAAGACCCAGCCGTCCAGCCAGCCTTTCCCAGCACCTCCAGGGAATGAACCCACCAACGGTCACAGAAACGGACACACCACTGCAAACAGTAACGGATACAATGTAGTGCCACAGTGGCCCATACCTCAGCAAGTGGCTCCCAACGGGTATGCTTCCGCCTCATCACCGGCGTCCAACGCGGGTCAGATGAAACTAACAGTGAAGCCATACTCTCAGCTCGTACGACCGCATTACATCCAGCAACAAATCCAACAGCAGTGAGTATCTTTCCTAGTGTTACCCTGTTGTTGTTGTTGTTGGGAATTGCGAGACTGAAATATATGCTAGTAACAGACATCTTAAAATTCACAATATTTAAGGGAAGAGCTGTGGATGAATGTTTCTTATGCGCTTAACGAGCGATGCATAGATTGACTAGCCTAAGCGTGGGCAAACTTTTTGACTCGCGGGCCACAATTGAATAAAATTGAACGGGGGGGGGGCCGGGTCTGGAGCAGATAGATGGAGCGTTTGTGTGAACTAAGAAAATTAAGACATGTTAAAGTCATGCATAAAGGCTAAAATGCTAAAATACTTTTATCGTTTTCTATGCCATCTATTGGGGAAATGTGGGTATTGCAGGGAAAAGGCAGAAGTATAATGATGATATGAATAAATTATACAATTTAGAAAAGTTTGGAGGGCCGGATTAAAAAGCTGAACGGGCCGCATCCGGACCCCGGGCCTTAGTTTGCGCATGCCTGGACTAGCCAGTTACTGAAATCGGCTTGTTTTCATCATGACCGTCCACTCAGCAGACATTTTGCGGTTGATCATTTTGTGCAGGAGAGGAGGCTTACATTCACATGCTGAAGCTAATATGTTGTTAGCTTGAAAGTACATGAGAGTGAGCCAGGAAGGCACCAAGCTCACTATTTAACAGAGAGGTTAACAGTGGCCGAAGTCGTTCAGAATGACAAACCTAATTTGAAATTTCAAACTCAGATGCAAATGCCCAGCTGAAGTGACCTGGAGTATTGTTTTTTTTTATAATTTTTCTTTTTTTCAGATGTAGCGTTACGGTTGCAGCTTCAAGTCATGCAAGTGTTGGTGTGGTTTGTCAGGTTGTAGATGAGACGAGGGACCATCTGTTGTTCGAAGTTGTTGAAATACGGCAAGAACCCGTGACTGAGTCCATGGGATATACTTTATATTTACTCAGGATTGGTCCGATATTGGTCAAAAGTTCAGGATCAAACATTGAAAAAAAACAAAACATCTTTAGCCTGTTGAATCTGATACCTAAGTTTAAGTGCGCTCAACTTAACCTTGCGTGACATGCTGTAAACAGGAACGCTATCACTTCAGCAGCGGCAGCCCGCAGCATGCTGGGGGAGTAAAAGAACATATCAGATCGATAATCCAGATAGCATTGACATGATAAAGTCGTATCGAGCCATCTCTACTAATAAGGTGCAGTGGTTTAAAAAAACAACAACAACAACGCCGTCTTAACCAATTATTGCCTGTTATTGTGGATAACATTATGTACAGTATATGGATGACAACCGCAGCAACCAACAACAGCTGAGAGAACAAGGGGGGACGAGCGGCATTTGGGTTCTTAATTACAGTGACCTACTTGAAGATTTAAAGCTGGTACCGGTGTCTCAGACAGGGAAAGTAAAGTGTGTACAGTACATACAGCATATACCACTAAAAGCTTGGCAGTGACTGTTGTGGAGCCAGGTGCTGCTCTCTGGCTCAGGTCCGTGAGGATACAAAGCTGGGCTGCACCTGTGGCATTTCTCTGGAAGTATCAGTTTGACAACAGTAAGAACGGCCAGATGTATGTGAGTGTGTGTGAGAGTATGAGTCGATGCACGCTGACGTGGGACTCTGGCTGGTGAATTTTGTCTTACACTGATGCCTTTTTTTTTTTTTTTTTGCTTTGCACTGGACATAACGACTGAATGATTTACTCTTTGATTGAGTAGATGACATTTTAAAGTACATTTTAATGAAGTGCTGACCGTGCCGACTGCGGAGAGGAAATCCTGAGTTCATTGGTGTGCCTCAAAAGGCAGAAACATTAAAATCTGTTAATAAAATAAAAATGTTAATATAATAAAAATAATTTTTAAAATGAGCAAGATCACCCTCCAGGGGTGCAAACAGAGAAAAGATGGTAGATTATGAGCAATTAAAATTAAATAATAAAAGAATTCAAATTAAATCAATTAAATCAATTAAATAAAATATTAATATAATTCCATTGTGCGTAGTAGGGACCATACAGTGTGAGACTTAAATCACATTGTGCCATACAGCTACATGCATTTAATCAGTACTCCAACATATAAGTTATATATGAAGTATTTTAAGCTTTTTTTTCCCCACTGTGACCCTTAACGAAATGAAGCAATAATACAAAAAAAAAAATGGACAAAGATTTGATATGAATGCATGTCTTATATGTACTGTTTGTAAAATGTCAAGTGACATTGCAAAGTTTCTGGTACTGTTAGCCGCAAGGACAAATAATTGTCTTTTTCATTAACGATTCTTAAATTGGTTAAATAGGAGAAAGTACTCCAAAATCTCAAATCAACTCGCTGTGGTTAGAAAATCACTTTATTTTCTTCTAGTTTGTCGTCTTAGTTCCCTTTTTCCATTTCTCTTTTCATCTGTGCGCTATAGAACACTCAGGCCTAACCAAACACTCTCATTGGTTCAGACACGTGACGGTGCTAGTCCCAAGCTGGTACTGATCATTAGTGGTGGTACACTTTGTTCATTTTATGGACGTGGGTCACTCTGACTCACTCACTAAGGTGATCTAATTCTATTGAGTCAGATGAGTCACTATTCTGTGGTCTTTGGCCACAGAGCAAAAAAGTAAAAAAAAAAAAAAAAAAATCTTGTATCAGGGAAAAAAGGCTTTTTTTAAAATCATTTTTTAAAAAATATTGTTGACTACATCCAATGAAGAAAGAGGGCAAGGGGGTCAAAAACGTGAATGCCAACCACAAAACTCCCCCATGGATCATTTGGCCAAACAACTTAAGTATTTAATCGGTACCTTTAATGTTCTATACTGTAAGGTCTCCAGTGCACGGCCACGTTTTTTATGACAGGGATAAAACTGATGTCGTTGTTATTTTTGGATCCCTCAGGACGCCCCCCCCCCACGCCACTGTGGCACTGCAGTTCCCAATGCAATTTCCCTTGGTTTATAAAGTAGGACATGATGAGGGCTTTACACATCATCGTAGTCCAGCCCCATAAATCATTGCTGACAACATAATTCCTTTTCAATGGCTGTCACTGCGGTTCACCTGCAGGGGTCAAACGCTGCCGTGAATGGTGCGAGAGTGTGACACTTTGGAATAAAAAAAGAAAACAAATAGTCCAGGAGTTTTTCGGTATCTGAATGTGACAATGTGAAGTCTTTGAATGAATTAAAAAAAATATGTAAAAAATGTAATATTAAAAAGCAAACAGCTGCTTTTGACTGCTTTGAGAAAACAGTATTTACACATTGGATCCATTGCTGGTTTAGGTATATATAATAATAATATATAAAATTATGAAATATTTCTTGGGGTCCAACGCTGGTTTAGGTATATATAATAATAATAATATAATATTATGAAATATTTCTTGGGGTCCACGGTTTCCGAGTGTATCTACAGGTGTATCTGTAGTAGTAGCAGGAACCGTCTCTTTTTTGCGAGGCAGCAAAAAAGTTTTGATCGGCAGTTGTTTCCGCTGCTTCTTTTTCCAGTCGAGAAGTAGCTTGTCGGCAGTCACGACGTCGTCCATTTTGTTGCAAAATTGAACCGATTGAACCATATCGTCCTCCACTTCCTGTGACATCTCTCGCAGATCTGAATCCAGGATACAGTATATTTTATATATACAGTTTCAAAAACCTGCAAAGTCGTGAATCCGCGAAAGATGAACTGCGAAATAGCGAGTATACAAAAATAAAATACATGCATTGTTATACTAGTTGGGTTCACAGGAACCAGGTACCCGTAGTACCACATTCAAGTCACTAAGAAATTTATTTAAATGTTGTTGAGCTGAAGAGAGCAAAATATCATAATAACTAATATGCTGCTAACGAATGAAATTAGATTCAGCAAAACTCGTGTATCGGCAAGTTACAGGTCCAAAAAAAAAATCAAAAAATTTTAATCAGTGCCTCTTTATTTTGAATACTTGTCTTGATTTCTGTGTTGATAAAATGACAACATTTTGAAGGAATTCATCCTGTTGCTAATTTCTTTTTAGCTTAGCTTCACCATGGACAGTTTGCCATCAAAGGTCCACAAAGAAAAACATTCACAATCGCACATTCCGTCAGTTTAGATTGAACTAATCCTGACTGTTGTACAGTTAGAAGGACCTTTTCTGTAATTCACATCACATAAATGTCTTCTAAGGAATTCCGTCAGCCCTGATGGTTTGTCAGCATTGCTCTGTTGTAAATCGATACTCCATTTCTGATACAATTCCTCGGCTACTAATAGCTTTTGGAATATCCCCACGCGGCATTGTATGACCTGAATGTCTCAAGTCAAATCTGTAAGTTTAGACAAATCAGTACAATTTCTACGTCTGTGCGTGGATTGTTCACGGGTTGACTGGGTCAAAACATAGACAAGTAAACGTTCCTGGATTATAACTCAAGGCGCTTCTGGAGTCCATCAGCACATGTTTGTCAGATCAAGCCCCGTAGATTACTATCTCATGGTCCCTCCGCCGACTGAGAGCTGTGTTTCTCTGATCCCTTTATTCGAGTCCATTCCTTAACCTGGAGCAAATCTCTGACATAGACTGGAGGGATTGTCTGCCTGCCCTCAGAAGAATTATCCCTAATACGTGCGAGTGAACTGTGAGGTTCAGTGGGTTCGGCAGACCAGAGTATGTCAGCTCTCATGGGGAAGAAGACTTGGACGACTCGAGCTTAGAGGTTGGTGGTGGATTGTGATTGCGGCCAGAGCAGTTAAAGCCGAGACTGTACAGATTCAGACACACACACACACACACAGATGCAGTATCAACTCAACAATGTGTTTAAGCAGAATCGCCGTCCATATTTAAGACCCGTAGGCTCCTATAACCATTGATTGGACACTCTCCAAGTGCTTCTGACTTACTTTTTATTTAACGGGCGCAGTTACCGCCGGTGCACGCGCTCGTGCCAGACACTTTGTTGAAACTGGAGTGAGATCTAATGTTTATGGCTTCTCACTTTTTGTCAGTTTTCACTCCCTTCCAGACCAAACATGGGATCAAAAGCCGTTCTTTGAACATTTATTAGTACGGTATTTGTCATATTAGGATATATAAACCTTGCGCATACCAACGTTTTTACATTAACAAACAGAGGAGTACGTGATGAATCACCTTCCTTGTGAATAACCTTTAAAATGGTAAGGTGAGATAAATCTAAATAAACATGTTGTACGGCTTAGGAAAAACATCGCTTTATAGTAGAGGGGGACTCGCTGTGAAGTTGCTAAAACTAAAGCTGGTTGACAGTGTTAACGGAAACCCATTTTTTTTTAAACGACCTTAGACATTGCTTTTTAACACATTCCATATGTCTGAATATAGACACCATCAATCCTTCTGCTTCGGCGTTATACAAATCTCCAGACTAGACTTGCACGTGCAACACTTTTGTGATTGACTTCAACTGCTGGTGCTATAATTATATGAAAGCTGTTCGTACAGGCTAAAGAAAGACATTTGAAGAATTCCAAAGAAAAATGAGTGTAGTAGAAAGTAGTCTCTGTTGAAATCATTGCTCGGTGCAATGTTCTCTGTGTGGTTTTTGGGCAATATATATATATATACACATATATATATATATGTGTATATATATATATATTTATATATATATATACATATATATATATATATGTATATATATACATATATATGTATATATATATGTGTATATATATATACCTGCCCAGGGTTTCATATCCAGCCCCCATGTCCCCCAACCTTGGTCAGACGGTCATTGTCAGAAAGTGACATCCAGCTTAAAAACAACTCGGCAAATTACTCTGCGAATTACCGCTGTGGCAACTCGTACTAATGAAAAAAAAAACAGAAATGATTCTTTCTGATGATACGATGCTAAACAACAACGTAAAAGAGGTATAAATTACAGAAAAACCTAGACATGCATAGGCACCAGTCACTGTTGGCAACAGTTCACAGGGCTGATTATATGGTGTTTTTCCGAAAATGACTGAGAAGACAAAGGAAGTGCTCGGCCAGCCACATCATCACTTTTTATTTTTAAGGATGTCGAGGTTACGCCTGGTGGTTCTGATCACTAACAGCTGCCCAAACAGTGATGAGCGCATGTAGTATTTAACATATTCACGCTGACCTTTATTTTTAACACGGCCCCATTCCAGGATGTGGGGGATGAAACTTACTATTTTAATACGCGCACCAAAGTAGCACGCGAGCATGCTCCCAAGTTTAACTGTCGAGAGATAGCCATTGGCTCATACATATACACACACACACACACGTCATGTTTTGTGTGTGTCAGTGTCTGAGGATGTTATCATTGCTTTGGAAAGTTAGACGACCGGTTCAGTGGTGGTCGTGACCGCACTCAGTCATTGTTTAAATGGTAAATTATTCACAATACGATACATTACGTGGGGATGCGTTGGGAGAGTGAAGATCCATCGTCATCTAACCCTGTGATTCCCAACCACTGTTCTGTGCGGCATATTAGCTTGTTGTCAGAGATCTTTAGGTGTACAGTGGAAAATGTTCTAAAAACTATAATTTATTTACTCCATATATTTAGTCTTTGTTCCTCTATGCCACCGTTTCAGGAAGAAAATATAAATGGTTTTCTGCCAGGTGGCAGCAGATGGCTGTGAAAACTAAAAAAAAAGACTTAGCTGTTGTGTGTCTTTCTTCAATTCCTGCGAGCATATCTCCGCAGTGTTAGACTAAACAGATCGAGGTTTCACACTGGGTAAGGAAATTGTGATTAAATTGAAATTAAGAGTTCTTTCATTACATACATACATATATTATATACTTTTTCTCCTTAGCTATGGGTTTTTTTTTTTACACCTACATGATGCAGGTCTAGCTGGTGTTTGGTTCATGGTAAAATAACAACAGTACACAAGTACACAAGTAAAGTGTATGTTATATGTGGCGAAATAAATACAAATGTAACGACTGAAAAACAAGGCCACCAAATTTAAAAAAAAAAAAAATAAAAAAAAAAACTAAGCCTCATCCGGTTCACTTTGACCACACTTGGTTCCAGGGTTTAGAATGAAGTCACACTGAATGACTCACCGCCTCAGGAAGCACCATCTGCTGACCAGGAGCACAGGCAGAGAAATGCCTCTTGCATAGTGACAGTAAATCACTGTTTAGTGTTATCAGTTTTCCTTTAAATTGTCGGCGGTGGGACATGCTGCTCCGCTCGCGACGTCAAAGGACGTAACGGCGGCGAATTAAATCTAATTCAAGAGCATCCTCTCTTCCGTGCCATCTTTTATTGGTGGCGCTGAAAAACATATTTGCTTTGCAAGTCACACATGGTTTTCTATACAAAAAATAGAATTACAGAGTTCTAACGTTCTAACGTAGACTGGATTTAACATTGAGCTGTTGCGCCCCGAAAGGTATTTCAATCTAACGGCCGACGCCAAGTTGAACGGTTATAAATTGCAAGTCTTTATGTCCGCTCCGTAGACATCCGTCATTGTTGGGATGCGCCACTGCTTTATGTATAAATTAGGCTCTGTCTGAAATCACTCCCATGTTTTATCATTTCTTTTAAACGTTGGAAGCGAGCCCAAAACATAAACCATTTATAAACAGGCATGACTCCCGCTTCTGGTTTTCTGTTTGCGTTTAACACAATAATTTAGGAGCGAAGAGTTATGCCTGTTCTGTTCTGTTCTTTGGACTGTGTTTAGAGGACGTATTTTATAAAATACCATTACCTCATCAAAGATATTGGGAGGTTTGTAAAACTTGACAGTCTGGAAAAAAAAAGGCGTTCGGACTGATAAGAGAGGAAAGGACTGGTAAGAGAGGAAGTGCAGGATGATGATGTCAGGCTGGAGATAAAAACAAAAATGCATTTTTTTTACACTAATGGCTACATATCTTGGAAGAGGAAAAAAAAAAAAAAAAAAAGCTAAAGCATATTTAGCTTTTCCAGAAATTTTGGCAAGAGATGACATGCCTTCGTCCAAGGCGAACCACAGAGGGCAGAGAGATACTGCTGCTACAGCTCCACGCATTTAATCAATGGATTGTCGAAGTAAAAAGCAGCCGCTCTGATAGACACATCCCAGGTTGAAATCATTACTTCTGACCTTTGGTCATGTTAATGATAATCTGTTCACAGCTGAGATGCTGAAATATCTGATGTGCTAATACTTCCTGACATCACACAGGATGTTCCCTGAAACGGGCTAGTTTGTACAAAAATAAAAATTGACATTTTAACCTATCCAAAAAAAACTTTTTTTGGTACTTATACTGACGGTGGTATTTTGGGAAGTTTGTTCTCTGACTGAATTCACAGTGTGTATCTTGACCGGGTACATTTACGATACCCTTTTAGTGAGTATCTGATTTTGTCCACTCCTTATCTTTAGGAGTTAGAAGATCTTTGTACGATACCCTTTTAGTGAGTATCTGATGTTGTCCACTCCTTATCTTTAGGAGATCTTTTTTTGACCTGACGTGATCATATTGGTTTAAAGTGTTTATCACCGCTGACGTGATCATATTGGTTTAAAGTGTGTTTTTCTTTCTCCTTCTCTCTAGGATTCGACCCGTGCCCATGCATCCAGTTCAGAGCCAGCAGTACGTCATAAAGCCCAAATACTACCACACGCACACAACACACCGAGAAACGCGCGTTCAGTCCCAACCAGAGAGGCCGATCCCGCTGAGAGTTGGAGCAAGTCAATTTCACGGTGAGTTGGCCAAGAAGTAGTATAAAGTATTTTTCACAACTTGTCTCTACTTTCGGGGGTGTTCCAAAAAACGGACCCCTTCGACACCAAGGGTGTAAAAAAAATATTTTTTACCCCTTCGACACCAAGGGTGTAAAAAAATATTTTTAAAAAAATTTACAGAACTTTTTTTTATTAACAATTAACATGAACATATTCACAGTCTTGATCCATTTTATTTTGGTTTGATTTCTTAGGGATTACAACTCAATATATCGCCGTGCCTGTGGTATTTGTTTACAGCGTCTACTAGAACAGATTTGAATAAACGGATTTGATCACCTCATCGATGTGCTGCAGACGGTCACCTCTAGTGTCAACCCTAGCAAACGGTTACATCATTGCCTTTTCTGTTTTTTTGTGCTGTGACCTTTGCTCCTTTGACCCTTGCCCTGTTAATGGCCACACAAATACAATAGTGACTTGACCCCTAGATTAAATCGCCATCGCTCAAAGTGACGCGCCGCTCGCAGCTTCAGAATGGCTTGTAGTGCAGTGTTGACTTGACTTTGCCAAACATGACTCAGAGCACAGAGGTGTCTCCAAGAACATGCCTGGGACACAGACTCTTGTACTCAACAGGCCAGAAGGGACACAGTTGAAGCGGATTGCAGCTATTTAGGGAAGCTAGAGCAGTGATTCCCAACCGCTGCGCCAGCGCACACTTCCAGATTCCAATTTCACTTCGTTGGTTGGTCTGAGCACTGTAATTTACTTACTGCAAATAATTTGTCCTTGTTCGTCAGTGCAACGATGACAGGATAAGGACTGTTGAAGGAGGTCTTTGGGTGACTATCTTCAATTCCTGCAGGTATAGCAGCGCTGTGTTCAACTAAACAGGCCCATTTTTCACAATGAGTTTATTCAAACCAGAAGATATAATTAGATTTCATAGCATTTATTTTTTTTGATTTTTTTTGTTTGGTGGTGTTGAGAAACATTTGGTCTAATGGACGGCGAAATCGTTGACTTGAGGTTAGGTGACAAAAGCTTACGCGGATTAGGACCTCTTTTATGAATGGGTGAGAGTGGGCAAAGGCCTAACATAGTGTAGATTACATAATGTATGTTATACAGTTATAACAATCTGTTTTTAGTCGTGCCTTTAGCCGTCACGGTCATAGTCGACAACAACGCTGTACATCCTAAGGTTTGAACATTTTGACAACTTTAGCGATTGGTTAAAGTGTAAAACAAATTCACCACATGGACCCGAGTCCTTTTTTTTTTTTTTTTTTTTTTTCTTTTTCAAAGAATGTAAACTGCCGTTTCAGCCGTTGCTGCGTCTTGCCACAGCCAGACAAAGCAGCTGAAGGATATTAATGGGAAGGTCAGCAGACGGAGCAGTGCTGGGGTTGTAGACGTTGTAGTGCAGCGCAGCCTTGAGAATACACAGATTTGGCCACAGGTCAAAATAACTTCTGTGGCTCAGTTTAATTTCAGCTCGTAGTATGTACGAGCCAAGGAAATGGCCAGACATCAAAAGCAAAAAGGAAAGTGGCACACACACACACACACACATACACACACATACCTAGAGAGGGGGGAGCCACCATAACGCATTACATTCATTCATGTTCGCTGCGTTTGAAGAAAAGGCAAAGACTAATTATGGGTTTTATTTGTGGCTTTATATAAATAAACAGTCAACTGGTTTATTTTTTAAAAAAACCTTTTTTAAATCCTTCCATGGCTTTCCCTGTTCGAACTGGGCTTCACATCTCTGAGGCTCTGAGTCAGGACTCGAATTAAGGTAAAAACATTTTTAAAAAAAAATCCAGTCCTAACTTTTGAAAAACCAACCGTTTCTCAAAAGACTACATTATGAAAAAAAAAAGTCTTTTTTTACACAATAGGGTACAATGGTAAAAGTCGCTAACTCACTCTGTCAAACATCAAATCCAGTTACAGATGTCCTATTACCGAGCCCGCTCGGTCCCTTGGTACTGCGCTGTAAATCAAGGTCACCATTAACGGCAATCTCCATTTAAAAGTCCATCCTTCACCGTCTTAGTCAACCCTGGCTTCAGTGTCTCCGCTGTCTGCAGAGACCTCAGCCTTATGGCTCAGCTCGGCCTTCTGTGCTCTGATGTAAACACCAGCCAGGAAGAAATAACTCCGTGACCCTGCTTTGCATTGATTGATATTGATGTTATGTCTGCGAAGTCTTGCTGATTCCCCTACCATATGTTTAACACGACCAGGGAACTCTTGTTATGATGAAGGAGAGTTTTTTTAGGGTTGAAGGGTAATTCAATTATGAATGGATTCTATTATTTTCTATATAACTGTTAATTGACAGTTGCCATGGACAATACAACTTTAAAGGCACGTGAAACTATTTAGAAGCTCAACCACGTAGGGCTCAAGGATTCACACTGTTACCTAAGAAGAAAAAAAATCCATATTTAAAGAACCCTCTTTGTTATGTATAACCATGATTTTTTTTTTTTTAGACTGTAATGTACCGAGTTTGTTGCATGACTTGGACTCGAGTCAGACTCGAGTCATCAATTTGATGACTTTAGACTCGACTTGACAAAATGGAAAGAGACTTGGGACTCGGCTTGGACTTTGTCATCAATGACTCGTGACTTCACTTGGACATGAGCCCTTTGACTCGACAAGACTCCAAAACCCACAGATTATAAAGTAAGTTATTACGGAGCGCTCTGTATGTGCTGTCGGCACAACATCCAATCGAATTAGACCCACGTTGTTATGACGCGATAGCACTGAGCCAATCAAATTGCGAGACAACCGATGAGGAAGAGGGACTTGACTTGACACTTTTCAGTCTTGACTTGGACTCGACTCGCACTTTGCCTGTCTTGACTTGAGACTTGACTCGCACTTGAGACTTACCTGTGACTTGCAAGGCAATGACTTGGTCCCACCTCTGCTATCTGCTCGCTACTTCCAAAGCAGCTGTGCTAACCGCTACACCAGGGGTCAACTGAGAGCTACTTCAAGGGCACTTAGTAATACAAACAGCTACGTGTTTGATACAGACATTAACAATAGTAGTTCTGGGTCATTCAGTAGAATGTAACTCTTCTTACCCTTGTCATTTCACCCATTTGAATATCACTGCAAGTGGAACTGATTCAAAAAGCACAGTAACAGTACAGTTTTTGACCCTCTTGTTGACTAGTTTTATTTTTAGAACATAACCCATGGGCAACTTAGTTAGTCCATGGGGGCTACCAGGTGTCCCACATTGTTGACCCCTCCGCTACACTATGTAACACTGTTACAGTAGTGTTTTAGTAATTGGAGTTTCTAATGTGTTCTGGATTATTTAGATTAAATAATTTGCTTTTCTTACTCCATTTGGGGACATAGAACAAAACAATCTCCCCCGATTCTCAATGAAAACTTTCAGATAGAATTTAGAGGCTACTCAGCTTTTTCCGTGCATCTAAACGAATACTCAGGTCTTTGATGACTAGACTTGATAACAAAGAGTGCAAAACTGAGAACTTTAAACACATAAATACAGGGATCAACACTTCCATTATGATGCAAAAGGAAGCGGTTTTTTTATCTAAAATAATATTTCATCCTAGATAGTATCGCAGAGGTTGCCCTTTTTCTTCACCCTCCTTCTCTGAGTAATCCTCCACACAGGGCTGGGTTTTCAGAGGGTGGGGATGACGCAGCAAACAGGAAGATAAGTAGACAGGGTTTTTTTTTTTTTTTTTTTTTTACTTTAATCCTTCTCGAGACAACTAGGACTACTACTGCATTGTTTTCTCTATTCAGGGATTTTTTTTTTCTTTTTTCGTTGTGTAATATACTCACGTTCAAGCGCAGGTTGTGAAATGTGAAAACAAGAAGGACTAAGGAATGAGAGAGGAAAACTGGAAAGCTCACAGCAGACACGGCCGCTGAAGGTAGCATGCCCACTGTCTGTTTTGGATAAAAGGTCTGTAAGCTCATCTGCCAATATCCACCTCTCACAGACGTACTCTGTGATAAAGATTTGGACGGCATCCCAGAGTTTTGATTGCCGAATATTGTTTCTCTCTCTCTCTGACTCTCTTTTAGTTTCTTTTTTTTTTTTTATCTTCTTCTTCTTCTTCTTCAAGAAGCCTTGAAGAACTGGACTCAAATGAAAGGAAGTTGGGTCGAAGCAAGTAGTTGATAGAATGCTAATGGAGCGAGGAGACGCATCATGGGTTTTTAATTTTTCCCTCAATAACAAAGGGAAGATTATTGATTGATTCCTCAACAGCCCGGCCGTAAAAGTTTGGACCTAAAAGTGATATCACGTTTCACCGGTGAACACAGAAATGACCTCATTTCTCCTTGTCTGCCTCCTCACGGATTTTGCCCTGTTTCTTGGAGCAGTGGGCAACCACACGGGAAGGATCAAGGTGGTCTTCACGCCCACTATCTGCAAGTTGACCTGCGTTGGAGGCAGATGTCACAACAACTGCGAGCGGGGGAACACCACCACCATCATCAGTGAGAACGGCCATGCCACAGACACTCTGACTGCACCCAACTTCCGAGTAGGTAAGAGATCGCTCTCTATTTGACTGGTCTAGAACAATTTAATAAACACACACGGTTGTCCTGAAAACACACTGAAAACATTAACAGTGCTGCAGTCAAAGCTAAGCTAAGCTAAGCTAGGCTATAAGTCATGACATGTCATGTTTTTTTTTTGTGCTGGATTTGCTGGTTAAATATAAAAAGGATCACGTGAAGATGAGCTAATCCAGGCATGGGCAAACTAAGGCCCGGGGGCCGAATGTGGCCCGTTCATCTTTTTAATCCGGCCCGCCAAACTTTTCCAAATGTTATCATTTATTATTTATATTATCATTATACTTCTGCCATTTCCCTGCAATACATCGGTTTCCCCAATAGATGGCGTAGAAAATGATAAAAGCATTTTAGCATTTTTTATCTCCTGTCATTTATGTTAGTTCGCACGAACGCTCCATCCATCAGCTCCTGACCCGGCCCCTCTTCTTTGGGCTTTTTGTGGCAGTTTTGAACTCTTTAGATGGAATTACTGACACCTGGTGGCTCTTTTTGACACCAGTGAAAAGTGAGACCCAGCAGGCTAACACTGCCAATGTTTTCTTTGGAGTTTAAAGAGGCCAGATTACAGAGCCAGACCCAGCTTTGTCTTGTGTGTAGGTATTTCTATGCGTTGTTGGGGGAGATTGGCATCTAAACAGTAGAGCAATAAAGCTCTGAGTTAAGAGTAGTTAGAGCAGTTTGTTTGTTTAACGTACACCAAATAAACCCCCCCCCCTTGGTCACAGACCCATTGTTTTTCTTCCATACGAAGCGCAGACATTAGACGCTGCCAGAGTCTGCCTCTGTCCTTACAAGGACTGCGTCAGCCCATCTGAACCCCGACACGTGCAGAATCACATGAAAGGCAGTCGCAGGAGGAATTCCTGTCTGAGTCAGCTCCTGGAGTTACGGTAGCTTAAAGATGGAAAAGAAAGAAGAAAAACACACCCATGTAAGCTGCGGATGGCCCGGAGGCATGTTTTTCTTCTCGTTACTGGAATGAAGCCATACTGATGTATTACTGCATGACAGGTATATTGGGCCCCGTGTTGCTTTTGCTTTAGAACGTGTCAACTTTGACCACCAGGCAATGAATGAAATACTAGGTCTGACCGACCTTTGGCAGTGTGTGTTTTCGAGGGTTAAAAAGACAGCTTTGTGTTTTCTCTGCATTCTTCGTTACAAAGAGACATTTCACTTTGGTTTGCGATCCGTCGCACTGCAGGTTGTAACGTGACTCTCCGAAAGAGACGCTCACCGTAGTTTCTTCTACGACATTCTAGGACTATTTTCTCTTTTTATTCTGTTTAAGATGTTTTGTATCAATTTCTTCCATGCTAACCTCATTAGCGATTCCGGTCGTCCAGATTGATACGAGAAATTACAGGTGTATACAGTACAGGTGCTAGATGTTGACATCTGATGTGCAGGTGATACCTCACCCCAAACCACAGTGAGGGCTCCAAGCAGTAAAATCCCTTTCTGCCGTCACACGTATCAATTAAAATGTTTGTTTTTTTTATGTAGCGATAAAACTTTAGGATGGTAATCCAAATAATGACGGGTATAATTAAACTCTGCGGAGTTACCACAGCCACTGCTGCTATAACTAAACACCGACTCCTGCTATTGAATCGTGTGTCTTTTAAACACAGTATCACTATTTCCATGTTTCAGTAAAGAAATGAAGAGACCACTGTGTTGTCAAATAAGTTGCTGAAGCTGTTGACCTTTTTAAATAAATGAGAATCCTAATTGGAGTTGGGGGAAAAAAAAAAGAAACTCATCGGTGAACAGCTCCTTGTACTGAACATTAATTAGGGAGTATCAGGTCACGTTCCAATACTTCTATGAGTGTTAAAAAAAATGGATCCCTACATTTGTCAAACGTATCTCTTAGTATTCCCAGCAGCAATTATGATATTGTGCGCTAGATCTTTAGCTTTGACTGAATCTTTGTCTAATTATGTTTGGAGAAGATTGATTTTTCTGTTAAACCCTTTATCATATCTACGAGTTTTGAGCCTTGGTTTCTACTCTTTTACTAACATGGTAGATGTTTACAAGCGATCGAAGTTATGTCATTAGAACGTCAGAGAACCATTTCGTCCACAAGAACACCAACAAGAATCAAGCTGTTGTTGTCAACTTCGGAAAATGTTACAGCAACCGGGGAACAGTTTCCTCATGTTACACCTGGATTTGACTGAAGGTGTAGAGGAGCCTGTCGGGGCTTGTTCCATTCCTCTTCTGCCCTGGATTTCTTTTCTTCTTTTCATCTCTGACTCTGCCTTTAAAGCAGATGTGGGTATGTGTATGTTTACTTTCTGCACAGATGAAACTCAAAAGAGGTAAAGAGAGATCCCCCAACACCTGGTCCGAGGACCGATAAGGGTCCGTAGATCATTTGGTACCGGGCCGCAGTGGTATACTGTGAATAAATGTACTACAGTTTTACTAATTGACTTCATTCTAAAAGAATCCAGTCATATCCCTTTTTCTTTTTTCATTCAAAGATAAAAAAATGTCAGACTTTGATACTAATAGAATAAAGTCTATTTTGAAAATTGAATGATCCTTCAACGATGGCGCGGTATTGCCGCTCCACAGTAACGGCTGATACCGGCCGACCGTTCGTTGGTACAACAAAGGTAGGGCTAAACAGGATTAGTCAATAGGAATTGTGCTCCTGTGAAGTGTTGACAAATATTTTTCACCAGAAATACTGAACTTGCACAGACCATGACGGGAGCTTTTGACTCTGTTGGTTCTGGTTTTGGCATGTAAACAAATACATTCTTATCAGATCAGTGGAAAATGAAAGTTCCTGCCAAGGTGATGGGGACATAACTTGGTCGGTGGCTTGTACGTAGGTCATTGATACCAACAACTATTCTAGGAATGACACGACAGCGCTCAACAAAATCCGTTTTTTTGTAAAATAGGACACATCCAGACTGCTACATGTGAATCCCATCTGGCCTGCCGTGGCCTTTGGAGAGCAGATTAAAGTGTTGTTTTTCCAGCTCCTTTGGCACCGTTTCTTTTAGGTGAGCGTAGCAACCTGCCAAGCGCTGAGAAAATTCTGGCTCTGGGCTCTTCAGACATCGGTAGCTGCCAGCTCATTTGTGTCAGTCTTAGTCCAGACACTTCACCGGTCTTTTTTACAGTCGGAATAAAATAAACAAAGTCAAGTGGGAGTTGGAGTGAATGTACAAGTCAGTAGGGAGGCTCTCAGGAACAAAAATACAGTTGTAGCCTTTTGTGGAGAGAAAACTGTTCTCTGTGTGTATCGGTAACCCCTGTGAAGTCTGATCAACTGCTGCCATGAGGAGGAGTAAAGCCTAAAAGTATTTTATGTGTGACTTTTACATGTCATTTATCACCCCCTGGTAAAAACCCTCATGCATCGACAGTATATGGCTGAAATGCTTCTGCGGGCTACAGGTGTTCTCCTTTGTCCTCGAACTGCACTACAGCCTACTGTGTAGATATATATACATCCTGTAGGCTTTTCTTATCTCAAGAAACCTAAGCACTCAAACGCCAAGTTTAAACGGCTGACACTCTTAGTTCCAGGTTTGTTTGTTTTTTTTAAATAAAACTTGCTAAATAATCATGTGGGATTCTATTGTAGCGTTATAGCCAAGTCAATTCTTCTAGTAGCTTAACAATTACGTAACCAGTTTATGTTTATAATGATTTATGATGTGTTGCAGCATCAAGGCAAGTGAGACTCCAAAGATGTTCGTGACAGTGTACCTCACTATGAAACTGATAAAACCAAAGACTTTCTGTTGAAATTGACCTTGAAGTTGACACTTATTTTCTACACGTTTAACCATTGTTTACTCACTATTGACTATATTGAACCAAAATGCATACTTTGCTTTCCTACATTTCCCGAAAAAAACTCCTGAGGGATTAATAAAGTTCTATCTATCCATCTATCCATCCATCCATCCATTCTTTCATTCATTCATGCATCCATCCAACCATCCATCTATCCATCCATCCATTCATTCATTCATTCATGCATCCATCCAACCATCCATCCATCTATCATCTATCCATCTCTCCATCCATCCATCCATCCATCCATCCATCCATCCATCCATCCATCCATCCATCCATCCATCCATCCATCCATCCATCCATCCATCCATCCATCCATCCATCCATCCATCCATCCATCCATCCATCCATCCATCCATCCATCCATCCATCCATCCATCCATCCATCCATCCATCCATCCATCCATCCATCCATCCATCCATCCATCCATCCATCCATCCATCCATCCATCCATCCATCCATCCATCCATCCATCCATCCATCCATCCATCCATCCATCCATCCATCCATCCATCCATCCATCCATCTATCCATCCATCCATCCATCCATTGCTGTTAAGACAGTAATATTGTTGCTCTGCTGTTTTCTTCCCAGTGGTCTGTCACCTTCCTTGTATAAATGGGGGGAAGTGCAGTGCCAGAGACAAGTGTCAGTGTCCTCCCAACTTCACGGGCAAATTCTGCCAGATGCCAGTGCAGAATGGACACCAGCAGCACCAGCAGACAGCGGGTGGTTACGGCCAAACTCAGGTCCACTCCACTCACACGCTGCCGCTGACCTACAGCAACGGCCAAAGTACTGGTGAGTCGTGGCGTCGTCATCAGTTTATGAAGAACATGTAAAACATCACTTAAAAAAAAAAATTGGGTACAATTTTTACGATACTTTCTGTTGCTAATGTTTCTTTTTTTTGTATTCCTCAAGTGTACAGCCCGAACATTGTCAACATCCACATCAAACACCCCCCAGAGGCCTCCGTCCAGGTCCACCAGGTGTCTCAGCTAGACAGCTACCACAACAACGGACATCAGATCAAGGGCTCCCAGTCGGGCTCCTCGTCTTCGTCCACCAGCTACACCTACCACCACGCAGACAGCAGCCAGAAGATCCAGCATCATGGCTACAATGCGCC